CCAAAACGCCTCCGCCGAGCTCCAGCCCGCTCTCCTCGGGGGCAGGGGACAGCCGCAAAGCGTCCCCGGGTTTCGTGCTTCTTGGAGAGGCGTTCCTGGCACGGGAGCGCCTCGAGAGAAAGAGGCCTGGGGAAATGTCGGAGGAGCCGATGGCCGCGGAAGGTGGTCCGCCTCCCCCCCCTCTCCTTCCTCTGACGGGGGACGCTAACGACGATGACTTGGCGGATACGCACCGACCCGAATCGTCCACCATTCCCACGTGCTGGGTGGCCAGGACTTCCTTTTGCCGGATAAATTCCGCCTTTTTCGTGTCGTAACGCACAGGGCGGGAGGGGGGGGGGGGGGGGGGGGGNGGGGGGGGGGGGGGGGGGGGGGGGGGGGGGGGGGGGGGGCTGTGCTGCTTAGACGGGAATGACTTGCGAGAAAAGAAAAAAAGGACTTCCGAAAGTCACAAAAGCCCTATGGCCGCGTGGCACAGGGCAGTAAAACTCGCACAAAAATAAAAGGGTAGAGCTATCTACGGCCTTGCAACTACCGCGGCGTTCTTTTAGCAGTATTAGCCACAACTATCGCGGGTTTTGAGACGCGACTTTTCACTGTGGCGGGGTCAACTCTTATCAGAAATGTCGAGCATCTACCAATAAATATCAGAGGAGAGGATTGAAACAAGAACGTCGCGACAAAATCATGTCGACACTTGTCCATCGTCGAACAACGTAAAACGCCATTGGTACCACTGCACAAGAAGCATGAAACCCCGTCACAGCATGTTCCCGAACAAAACAACCGTCTACATAGGATACTGTACAAGTCTTGACTAAAACACGAGAGAGCGTTTCCTTGCAACAACCAAAGAGAAGTTGCCCAACTCATCTCGAACAAACGAACGTGAAGGACTACCCCATGGTTCAGGTGATGGGAAGAAATACATCTGAAAAAAGTAAAACACTTTCAGCCGACAACTACAGCAAGTGCCCTTCCTGTGCTCCAACGAAACCAGTAGCATGTGCTGAGGTACTCCTACAACATACAAGTCGATGGAGGGTTTCAAGCAAATAACAACAGTTGGCAGCAGTAGCAGCACCAGCAGCAGCAGCACCATCAGCAGCAGCAAACAAACAACAACAGCAGCAGCAGCAACAGCAGCAGTACCTGAGACAGAAAGGGCGTGTACCACGCCTTGACCAAGGCTACAAGCTTGTCCTTGTCCCCCCCGGTGCGAGCGATTTCCTCCTTGCGAACCTTGTCCGCCGTCATTCGAGCCTGCGACGATAATGGCAACAACGACAACGAAATAACAGCAGTCGTCAACCTCACCATGAGCGCCAACAACAAGGACATCACCCACGCTACCAGCAACATTACCAACAAGAGCAACAGCGGCAGCAACAGCAACAGCGGTAGCAACAGCAGCAAACGAGAATCAACCTCTTCAACTCACCTGCGTCTGAAACCTCTACTTCTTAAGTCCCAACCAGATTCTCTAACCCCCAACGCTACTCCTATCCTTAGGCAGTGGTGGCGACTTACTCGCGTCCGAAACCTCAACTTTTTAACTCCCACCCAGGTTCTCTAACGACCAGCGCTACCCCTAACCTCAGATAGTGGTGGCGACTCCTACTGCTGGCATCGTACCTCCTCCTTCATGAACTCTAGCAGCGGAGCGGCGTCCCACTGCTCCCACTCACGGGGCCCGGCGGTAGCAGCGCGGCTGCCATACCCTACCCCCCCCCCCCC